AAAAGGAAAAATAACACATTCATATTTATGATACTCAATTCGAAATTTCCATGGGTCCGATCCCGTTCCACCATACGTAAGGGGTTAACATGATTTTCTGCGTATCGTAGGGTCAGTGCGTGCTCCGAACTTCCACTTCGGATGAATATTCCCAAAACTCGTATCTTTTTTGTTCTCGGTTGTCCGGGGGACCACTCCACTCCCGGCCGTGAGTAAATCGTTGAAAATCGTTTCGGTGGGATCGGCCACCCTCCGATGCGCGAACGTGTTGACGCTCGGCGTCCTCCGAGTTATTTCAATAAAGCAAATGGAATAGGCTTCGCAGAGGTGGTATATCTTCCCATGGAATGGCAAAGTGCGCGCCGATCGACGCTGGGGTGGAGGGAAACGCCGAGCTATGATGGAGCCGTCAGTACATCGTGATCCACGCATCATCAACATTGACGACCTCCGTCCGCTTTTTGGCCCCGGCCCCGGGATTCATCCCCCGTGCCCGGAGCCATTGCGCCGGTTTATGAGCCTGCGGGGATCCTCGTTCTCTTCTCTTTTCCGCCCTCCTTCGCTGCCAGTGGAGCCTAGCTGTGTGTCTTTATTCCCGGCCTCTTCGAGAACGCCCAGCGTTTTCGGCACCGACCGTGACGTCACCAGGCAAATCACCCTTCACGCCTTGTTAGGCCGCGGCAACGTACCGTTTTACGATTTCACCCCGCACCGCCTGCGAATTGCCAATTGTTAATTAGCATCCTCGCGGAAGAAGGCCACCAGTAGAGTTGAAGATGTACGTGGGAAGATTCACGCAGCGGAATTGTCGGCGAGGCGACCGTACATCCGCGTTTTAGTTTGCTGCGAACCGCTACCAATGCGTAGTGTTGCACGCGCGTCGACCATATGGCTCTGCCGGCGGTAATTGCGCTAATTACCGACAATTTGGCGGTGGTGTTCGCATATATGCGGACGCAGGGCGAAGGAAAAGTATTAGTGAGAATGTTAGGAGTTAATAATATATTTCCGAGTCAGCAAATCTGGAATTATATACACAAGAAAGTTGTTTGTATTTTGGATACGGAAATGGATCGAGGAAAATGATTTCGGTGAAGAATATCGATGAAGCGAGCCACGAATATACCGAAGAAGTGAAAGCTCGAAAGTACTTACAGACAAGGATAGTCATTCCTTGGAAAATTAATAATTCATATACAATTAGAGCGCCGCAGGTGGTCGGTATAAAATGCATGGCGGCATATGTTTGCCCCGGTGAATCATAGTGGAATTAGCATAATTAACGCGCGACGGGATCATTAGCATATTCGTGTCGATAGGCGTATATAGGGATCTCGCATGTCAGCCGCTCGTCGTGCACTTCTATCGGCGCCCCGAAATGATCATGCCCAGGAAACATCCTTTTTCCTGCATTTACCTTGGCCACTTTGCATCTAATTTCTCTCACGGTCGCGTCGTGTCTCTCTAACCGCCTATATACGTGTTCACGCGTCAACTTTGACACCGTTTTCGCCGTCGATCTTCTGCCGTTCACGCGTCGAGATTACCCGAGCCACGGCAATTCGCTGGAGTAGCGAGCGCGTGCTGTAACAAAGTGCACCGCGTGACGCGCAGCAAACAATTCATCTTCTTTTTTCACTGTCACTCGATCCACGTTACAACGTTACACCGCGCCAAAAACAAACGTTACCACGATCCCGAACGAGGCTGTTCCGGCGAGTCGACCGGTTTTACCATGCGAAACTGATGTTTCGGCGAAGTAGTAAATCGGCGCAGCCATCAAGCCGGCTGGGATTTAATTACCGAATTCTGAATATCGGCACGTCGCGTCGGTTGTCGATGTACGCGGCGCCTAGGCCCCGCAGGGCATAGCTGCTCGGACGATCGAACAGGCTTTAATCGTTCTCTCGTGCGGTCGCCCGATTCCGCGAAACGCGGCGCACGTCCGCCATAGCGCCCAACGGAACGTGCGAGCCACGGAACGAGAGGCGCGATCGCAACCCCGCGAGAACCTCGACCGGTCGAACGTGCGTGCATTTCGGAGGAACCGCTCCGCGGGACAACACGCTGCATGCGTAATTAATGAAACCAATAAAGCCGTTCGTACCGGTGGAAATTCGTTAAATTTAATTGGACGCGAGTAATCGTGCGATCCTGCGATTTCCAGAAGAACGCTCGATTATAGATGAGAGGGAGACGCACGTTTGGTTGGTGAAACTCATTTAACAACTAAATAGATTTTTCTTCTTCGAGTCATACGGCAATGTTGTATAAATCAATAAGATCCTATGGTTGGTTTTAAAGGAAATCGCATTCACACGCGACTCTCTCGTTGAATTCTTGAATTATAGCAATGGCGCGATAAAACTGCGAGCCCCGTCACATTTCGTTGTAAGTTATTAATTAATTGGCGATTTATGAACGCGTACGTTGATCCCATTAAATTAAACCGGCATCACATGATGGATAGTAATCCGGGCGTGGAATATCCGCGCGCGTTAGGACGATAACGCGGTCCGTATGAATGCGTGAGTGTGCGATAGCCGGCGGGTATCGATGATCGTAAATTTTTGAATTAATGCAGCATTAAGGACGCGCGGGTGGTATCGATCGAGGACGCATCGGGGCATGCATGTCGGCATTAATCTGGTTCACGAGTAACAACGTTTTACGCTGGCCGAGCCTCGCAGGAACGAGAGAGCCCTCTCCTCCCGTCGCCGCGCGGCAGAGTCGTTCGGAATTCGCTCGACACTGAAATATCGCATTTCCAACTAAATCTGGCCGAATCTAATTTTACGGGACCCATGTGCATTAGCGGATTAATGCACTCTATTCCTGGTGGACCAAGTGATGAGGTGTATTTGCATAGCATTATACTTGCGCCTTTCCCCTACCTCCAACCCTCCTAGCCCCACCTATTCCCTCCCCCTGCCCCTTAACCGGCTCTTCAATCCCATCTCTAATTATACGTGTAGCACCACTGTGTGTCCTCTTGCGCAGGTGATAATCATATTACTATCCTATCAACGTTATTGCCATTCCTACTCGCATACCACGATCACACTATTTGAAGTGCTTAGACTAGTGCCGATCGATCAACCCCTAAGAGGTTCGAATTTACCCTCCGGCAATCGCCCTTGGCTTTGAAGAGGAGAAACGGATGGACGGACGAACGGACGGAGCGCCGGGAGTGGGCTGATCAGACAATGGGCGTACACCTCCCGACATCGAGATATTCTATTAAACCCGAACGATATTTATGCGGTCCTGGTGCCGTACTTTTTTCTCGCCCAGCAAACAAAACGTAAATAAATAACGACATCGGTGCGGGAGCAACGAACCCACGACCGCCAAGTTTTCTGTGGAAGTTTCGTGGAAACTGGTGCGCGGAAGCTATCGCGGTCCGATCCCCGGGAAAAGAGAACGAGCCCCGAACGGTAGATACGTCGTATAACTTCCGAGTAATCTCGCGTTGTCGGCCGAGATATAAATTCGCGGCGGAAAAAGGAAGAACGTGAGGTCGGACACCGGAAACTCCGCCGTTTGATCGTCAGCAGTGAGTAGCGCGGAGGGCAGCAAATAGTCGTCGCGTAATTCTCGGTCGGACAATATGAGTCGTGTTTGCGCCTGCACTTTAGGCAACCGGCGCGTCTAACGTGTACACACGGACTCGTGGGTACACGCGATATGCAAATGCACCGGTGAAATGCAACGGTCATCCCCCCGTGTCCCCGTAAATCACACAACGCTGCTTTTTTTCTAATGAGATCCTTTTAATTAAAGAATACGGCCGCCGGTATCTTAATGCCGTCATAGTTTCATCGACACGATCCGGGGACGTAATGATTGGCCCTTCGGCTTTGTGCGCCGGTCCCGCCCCGCTCGTTACCGCGACGAAGGTGATGAGAAATACCTTCGTGACACTTTTACCCCTTTTCCTACGACCGCGCATCGCCCGCCCCTGCCATCAATTCAGATTGTTATTGTAATTGTTAGTCGTGCATCGTTCCGTGCTGGTGTTTCTCCATTTAATTAGGAACGTGCCACCTTTACGACCGGCACGCTCTATCGATCTCGGCCGCGGTTAGCTGTTACTCCGCGATCCGGACACTGGGAAAATGGCACAGTCGCTCGCAACAGTGAATCCGCGACAAATTAATCGGGCAAGTAACCAATGCACGGCTAATGCGGGCTGAGCGCCAAATGCTGTTTCTAACGTAATCGAATTTGCAGCTTGTCTCGCATGCACCAGATACAACCAGCCTCAGCTACACGCGTCACCGTCGAATGGCTGGCCGGACTATACTAATCAAATAATTCATTTCCGCAATCTGGTGTCGCGTACAATAACGACTCCGGTTACGCAGCCCGGACCGGGATTATTCAAGAATAATTTAATTTATTGGCGGGCAGGTGTCGATTGAATGGAGAACGATACTCCGATAGTTACGGCTGATCGAGAGTATTATTATAGATTTTAGAGTATAATGAGATTTCTTATTAGATTAATTATTTAGCTGGCTTATTAATTAGCCTATGTTCGTGTTTGGTTGAGTACAGAAGTTCACGACGATAAAAATGTTCTGCCCCATAAATTTTTGTGTTATGAGACAGAGGATCATAATTTGGACGTTTCGAAAAGATTATGAGGCCCGACCGACCTCGGGCGATCGAGCGACCTTCCACCGACATTCTATTAACATTCAAGTGCAGCACACATTAGGCCATAAATTGGCGTCTGCGCAAAGTACAAGGCTGTTGCAAACCCTAGAAAAAGTTTTAAAAGATGGCGTGCTTTGTTTAGAAAGATTCCTGTCAATCAATTTTTTTCAACTCGAGGAATCTAAATTTTGTCACCGGAGCGAATAGTTATGTGTAGGAAATAGCCGTTACCGCATTTTCACAACCTATTTATACTTTACATCTATTATACTTTATCTATTTTAATATAAAGCGGGCTTTTACACCACCTTCTATAATAAGTTCAATTACTTTTTCAGAAAAATAGACTGTAAATCTTCATCGAACCAACGCAGACAAACGTATATTTATAAAAAGAATTTTGAACTTCTTAAAAACCGATCATGACTTTAATCTCGCGAGAAAAAAGTGTGTGATGAATGGCCGCTATCATATAACTAAAGGAATTTGTATACCAGGTATTACCGAGTTTTAAACTTTTTTCATTTTTGGGGATAAAGAACAGTTTGCTTCGCGATTTAAGAACAAAACGCATCGTTGAGTCAGGATAATACCGCGTAATTGGCGAACGGAAAACAATGCCTCACGTGTGCTCGTTAAATTCTGGCACTGAACGAATGAATCTTTTATTAACAATTGATTTTAATTAACTTTCTACTTCAACGCGCCATTCGCGAATCGTTAATTACAATATTAATTTGTGAAACATTCTTCGTAATAGAGTGGCGACCTCTCTACAGTATGTGCTGAAATTTCACATAACTGCGATGGTGGTGTAATGGTGAGCATAGTTGCCTTCCAAGCAGTTGATCCGGGTTCGATTCCCGGCCATCGCAGTGAATTTATTTTTCCAGTCGCGATTCCAGACTTTTACTCGTCAATTATTCGATATTCCTCTTGTGTTGGTACTTTAAATCGTTGTACTTCAACTGCGATGGTGGTGTAATGGTGAGCATAG